TAATTAGCATAATTAATTAATTTTCAGCTTTTGATATTTCAAGTACTAATCATCACATTTCAATGACACTTGGTACATAGATGTCATAGGACACTGCACAGACCTGATAGTTTTTAGGGTAATACGAGTACATATTAATTACCTAATTAGCATAATTAATTATATTTCAGCTTTTGATATTTCAAGTAGTAATCATCACATTTCAATGAAATTTGGTACATAGATGTCATAGGACACTGCACAGACCTGATAGTTTTTTGGGTAATATCAGTAGATATTAATTACCTAATTTGCATAATTAATTAATTTTCAGCTTTTGATATTTCAAGTAGTAATCATCACATTTCAATGACACTTGGTACATAGATGTCATAGGACACTGCACAGACCTGATAGTTTTTAAGGTAATACGAGTACATATTAATTACCTAATTTGCAAAATAAATTAATTTTCAGCTTCTGATATTTCAAGTAGTAATCATCACATTTCAATGAAATTTGGTACATAGACATCATAGGACACTGCACAGACCTGATAGTTTTTAGAGTAATATGAGTACATATTAATTATCTAATTTGCATAATTCATTAATTTTCAGCTTTTGATATATCAAGTAGTAATCATCATATTTCAATGAGACTTGCTACATAGATCTTCTAGGATTATGCAGAGACCTAATTAGTTTTAATTGGATATTAATTACCTAATTTGCATAATGTTCCACTGATATATAAAGAACCACAAATTGGATTTTAATGAAACTTTTAAAGAGAACTATGCAGAAACCCAATTAGTTTTCGGTAAATATTTATGCTTATTAATCTCCTAATTAACATAATTAATTAACACTGATGTCTCAATTACTGATCATCACATTTGAATAAAATTTGGTACATAAATGCTCTAGGACAATAGACAGGCCTGATTAATTTTGGGTTAAAATTTGTTCATATTAATTCTCTAATTAGCATAATAATTCATAATTTTTTTGTTCTGTTCTGTTCATATTAGTTACCTGATGTACATAATTAGTTTTCAGCTTTTCTATCAATATCTCATGTACAAGTAATTTTGAATTAATTTTTAATGTGTCTTCAATACTCTCAGCACACGGGAGTTCTTTCTAAGCTTTCTTTGATTTATTTTGATTGTGTTATGGTTGTTGACAATTAATATTGTTTATTCATCTTGATAATTGTGAGACTGAACAACTCTAAAACTATCGTAAAATCTGTATTAGAAGCTGCATCCCCAATAGAAGCCGCACCCATTCTTTTTGAACAATCGAGACCCAAAAATTCACCAGGTCGCATATGTGTAGATGCTCTAATAGAAGCCGCATCTCCTCTGTTGCATTGTACCATTTTAATAGAAGCCGCGGCTTTTAATACAGATTTTACAGTAATATCCATAAAAGTGAATACTACTTGTCATTGCTAATTTATACATTCATACGTCTACAACTGTAAACTTTTGGTCAATAATTGACAAATTTTATGAGTTAACCTTGCCTGACACTAGTTATATCGCCATGTTATACAAATACTAATTGCGTATAAGTGTTGTGAGGCATGTTAAGGACGATTTAAACCACCACACCATGTCATTCTGGAAGTCTTCACATGTGTGTACTGCACACTCTGAAACAGTAAAGCCATTAGTATGGGAACGTCGGAATACAGGTATAACTGGTTGTTAGCTAAAACTTCAGGACAGTAGTAAAACTATGTGCTTTAATGATGTCAATTTACTCTTTTGTAGTTTCTGATGCATTTTATCTTGAAGGTTCACGAAATATGTTAGTGTTTATTCAACTTGTTAAAAAGCTAAGGCATGCTCTAGAAAGACATGGATTTAAATGTTTATATTTTGTTTAGAAGTTGAAAATATTGGTGCAAGAATTTACAAAATGTACAGCACACTTTTCTCGTATTTCCATCAGGAGAATGCCTACCAGCTGACAGCTTCTATGCGACTAAACCTGATGGTGCAGTCAAACTGCACATGGCGAACTCTGGGCCAAGATCTGAACAACCAATTACAGTTCACCAACAGTTGGTTAACACTATGAAAGAATTCCCAGATTTGAAAGCATTATCTGTCAAGAGAAATGATGAATGGATAAGCTGGACATGGACTGAATATTATCATGCATGCCGCAATACAGCTAAAGCTTTTATAAAGGTAAAATTAATCTGTCACTGGTGTCAGTATCATTGTAGAACGTCAAGATACAAGAAGGAAATGTCTGTCTTCATTGTTGTCGTGGAATCCATCATAAAACCTTTTTGTGGTTAAAATTTCTAATTTCTTTCAAACTTTTATATTGTATTATTCAGTCTGAGATCTTGGCTAAGTTTAATCTTAGTATATTGGTTAAATTTCACTTCTTCTTCTTTTGGTTGCAATAACTTAAACATTTTTTATCTGATTGTCTTCAAATTTGAGAATTATATTTAGTGTAACTGGCAAGTGCAATTTTCTAACATTTTCTAACATAAAACATTTGTTAGGCGTAGAAATAAGTGGACAGAATAAAGACATTTATTACTGCTGACAATGAGAACCAGATGTTAGTAATGTGCCTTATGTGGTCAAGTCAATGTAAAAGTACATTAGGCCAGGAAAAAAAATTCTCTGTTTCTCGTTTTATGGGAAATTTTAAAATGAGGCGGCAAATACTGAGCTAAATGGGGGAAATTTGAGACAAGTGCGAGTACAAACACATTTTGGAATGCTTTAGAAGGAAAAAAAAACACATTTGAGGCGCATAGTTCAAAATGATGCGCGCGGAAACGAGAAACAGAGATAATTTTTTTCTCAGCCTCAACTGGGAAGATTAGATGGTTAATCTAAGTTCTCAGTAGATAGATTGTAATAGTAACATAATGGCACACATTTTATATTATAATTTATGATGTTGACTCTGGATTACTATGAATGTAGTTTATCTATAAGGAGCATTTTTATGTAGGCTATATCAGTCCCTAATATCTATTCACCTGCATGCTAGCTGTATACCATATTTGCACAATTAGTAGCATATGTGCTTCCGTAAATAACTATTAGACTTTTGAAATAAGCCATAGTTTTGATAATTCAACATAAAACAAATGCAATTTCTGGTTTATATTTTGAAAAAATGTCAAAAATTTGTATCCCCCTCTGCTACAGTATATGTTGCTTTCATTGGATAATTAATTCAATGATTATTGTTTCAGCTTGGATTGGAAAGGTTTCATGGAGTTGGAATAATTGGGTTCAATTCACCAGAGTGGTTTATGGCAGATGTGGGAGCCATTTTTGCTGGGTAAGTCGTAAAACTATCTTGCATGGAAAAAGTTCCTGTCATATGTAGTCCAGAATGGTAACTTATGTTTTGAGTTCTGTCTATGCATTGATTTATTTTTTGTTTTGTTTTGTTAACCTTTGACTGACTGATGACTTTATAACCAAAAGTTAACATTTGAACAGGTCATCATTTTACAGTAATGCATGGACTGAATGACATCAAGCATGATTAGTTACTATGACTGTTTTGCTATTTTATTCAAGATAGGCGACTGGTGACCATTTTTTTTTCAAGTGTACTATTTTTTTCTCAGGTATACTTTTCCAAATTTTGTTTAAAGTTGATACAAAGGTGAGACAAAGGTTAACTGGCACACCTTCATTGCCAGGCAATATCAGTTCAATTAATAAACTACTTTGCATGTTTTAGACATGCCTGAAATGATTTCCCCCTGTTCATAAGAAATCACTTTGAAAACATCCTGACAGGACTTGCCATTGTATTGCATACAAAAAGGGGGACTTATGTTTTGACCTCTGTGCGTGCGTGCGTCCGGACCTGTATCTTAGAAATGCCTGGACCAATCACAATCAAACTTCACACATAAATCATACATGATATTATACATATGCACATCAATTTGTTTCACGATCTGATTCAAGATGGCCGAATAGCGGCCATTTTTATGCTAAAAAATCATCAACATCAAGCATTTCTCAGCTGTTTACTGATGGATTTTGTTCAAACTTGGTATATACATTGGACATTATAGAACCTTGCTGTTTCAGAGCAATATCTCTCAATACTCGTTTGATGATCAGATATAAATGTCAATCATTTTAATGTTAAACAATCATCATAATCATATTCCTGACATGTTTATATTCCAGCTATATTACTATAAACAAAACTATATATCTTAAATTCGATAACTAATGGGAACTGTGCCATGCATGGCTTGTTCACTTTTACCTCCGCTGTCAACTTTGTCAGCTTATCATATGAGTGATTGTTCATCGTGTAGATATCTTTAATTCTGTAATTTTGGTGAATATTTTTGACTTCTTGTTGAAAACCGTAAGTTTGATTGCTTTGATATTAATACATATAAATACTACAGGGAGACCTTTCTAATTTATTCATTTTGTGATGATATATTCAATTCTTTGACTGAAATGTGCATTGCTAACATCCGAGCTACCTCAGCCGAGAGTCTGCATGTTTTATGTATTTAATAACTAGTCATTCTGGATAGCACATTCACCATGCTGGTTTCTGTGCCTGTCCTGTCCTGTTGTCAAAATTCCGGTGGCCCACATCCTGGTTTCCAGTCATGTTTCATTGCCAAAATATCTATAACCTTCATTCTGGGGTCTGTGCACACCACTGAACACCTTGGCTTTTTGCCAACATTGTGCACATTTGCATGTATTTTTCTACAGTTTTGTTGTTGGAATAACTTAAATAAAATTTGTTTAAAAAAAAAATATTGAAAATTATGTAGGTGACAAAATTTGGGCAAAATATAAGTTTGTTGGCTTTAGTGAGGTCAGTGTTTGCTTGATGATTTTACAATATGATGAGAATGATGTCCAAGAACAGCATGGTACTGATAACAAGCTGACGGTTATATGACCAGTTTCTATTAACATCACTGCAATTTATTGGTCTTATTAAGAGTGTCAAAAATGTTATTAGTAGAATAATAAGACTAAGCCTTGTGTTGTATTTTTAAGATTAATGAAAAAAAAAAATGTGAAAATACTTAAATTGGAATCTTTCCAAGTATGCCCAGTGTTTGGAACCAAGAATTTGAATAACTACCAAACCACTCCACCAGTGACTCCTCCACCACTGACTTCTCACCACTGACTCCTCACCACTGACTCCTCACCACTGACTTCTCACCACTGACTTCTCACCACTGACTTCTCACCACTGACTCCTCCGCCACTGACTCCTCCGCCACTGACTCCTCCACCACTGACTCCTACGCCACCACTGACTCCTCCGCCACCACTGACTCCTCCGCCACCACTGACTCCTCCGCCACCACTGACTCCTCCGCCACCACTGACTCCTCCGCCACCACTGACTCCTCCGCCACCACTGACTACTCCGCCTCCACTGACTCCTCCGCCACCACTGACTCCTCCGCCACCACTGACTCCTCCGCCACCACTGACTCCTCCGCCACCACTGACTCCTCCGCCACCACTGACTCCTCCGCCACCACTGACTCCTCCGCCACCACTGACTCCTCCGCCACCACTGACTCCTCCGCCACCACTGACTCCTCCGCCACCACTGACTCCTCCGCCACCACTGACTCCTCCTCCGCCACCACTGACTCTTCCACCACTGACTCCTCCTCCGCCACCACTGACTCTTCCACCACTGACTCTTCCGCCACTGACTCTTCCGCCACTGACTCTTCCGCCACTGACTCTTCCGCCACTGACTCTTCCGCCACCACTGACTCCTCCCCACCACTGACTCCTCCCCACCACTGACTCCTCCGCCACCACTGACTCCTCCGCCACCACTGACTCCTCCGCCACCACTGACTCCTCCACCACTGACTCCTCCACCACTGACTCCTCCACCACTGACTCCTCCTCCGCCACCACTGACTCTTCCTCCGCCACCACTGACTCTTCCACCACTGACTCTTCCTCCGCCACCACTGACTCTTCCACCACTGACTCTTCCGCCACTGACTCTTCCGCCACTGACTCTTCCGCCACTGACTCTTCCGCCACTGACTCTTCCGCCACTGACTCTTCCGCCACTGACTCTTCCGCCACTGACTCTTCCGCCACTGACTCTTCCGCCACTGACTCTTCCGCCACTGACTCCTCCGCCACTGACTCCTCTGCCACTGACTCCTCCTGCAGTGACTCCTCTGCCACTGACTCCTCTGCCACTGACTCCTCCACCACTTGTGTTAAATCAAATCTCTGTGAGTTGGTTTCTATATTCCTTGGTTAGCATACCTAACATTAGGGGAAGACTGCTCACTTCAGCAGTATATTAATTATTATATATTAATTATTTATAAAAATTTAAAGATAAGTTTAATACTTAAAGAATGTCTACTTACAATGAGATAAATTTGATAATTTGTCAGGATAATTAACCCATTTCACAAATTTTTCTCTCATTGTTAGTAAACGTGACTCATGACTCAAGTTTCTTGCTGCCCAGACAAGAAAACACATGGTATTGCAATTACTGTATTAAAAGCGTATGCACTTATGCGGATGACATACATCTGTCTATTGCCATAATATAATATGTTTATTTGCGCCTCTATTAGAGATTCACTACTAATTAAATTACTCATGTAGCACTTAATGTTAGTAAAGGTATGGGAAAAAGAAAGCAAACCCTCTCAAGAATTTTTTTTCTTTCATTTTTGTCACTGTTACATTTTTTTCTCTATGTTCTTTTTCTCTGATTTTTGTTTATTTGTAACAATTTTTCTCTCTGGAGATTGAGTTAAGTGTTAATTAAGATTGAATTGAATATCTAGCAAATACAGTATTTGGTTAAAGAACTGTGTCCTATCTTATGAGGGAGAATAACAAAACTGTAGATCTGAGTTAGCTTCTCTTCACAAACAAGGAAATGAAAACAATATTGTAATAATGAGATAACCTACAAGTTCATAGATGTCTCACAGCTTTATATAAATCTGTTCAGTTAGACTCAATAACTGTCTTATTTCTTCTATTACATGCAAAACCAGTGCTGTAAAATACTTTATTTTCGCTATTTGCGTTAAAGGAATGATTCAGTGAAAAAACAATCCAGCGTCTATTTTTCTGTATTTTACATTCAACTCATCAAAAATCAGTGAAAATTAATTCCATACAAAACCTAAAATAAAATAAAACTAAAATAAAATATTTTACATTATTCTGTCTAAATTTTTATTGTGTGAAACATTACTCAGTGACCGGTCTTACATTTGTAGGTTTCATTATTTGAGCAAATAGATAAATAAATATTTCTAACTAACTTTTCCTAAAATTGATGTATATTTAATAAATTCTGAATATTTCATACAGGGGTTTAGCAGTGGGTATTTATACAACAAACTCACCAGAAGCTTGCCACTATGTAGCAGATAACAGTGATGCCAATATCATTGTTGTTGAAAACACTGCACAACTTAAGAAGATCTTAAAAGTCTGGGACAGGTTGCCACATCTTAAAGCTATTGTGCAATATTCTGGTGAGCTGGAAGAGAAAAGAGAGAATGTATACACTGTAAGTTTATTAAATTTTAACTTAACAAGTTTCCAACTCTTAGCGTGATATGCAAATTAATGTATATCTTACCCATCTGACTTAGCGCCCATGCTTGACTAAGGGCCCACCCAGCATTATTTAGACATTTTTATTTTCAAAGTCAACCCCTAAAAAAACATGATTTTGGGGGATATATAATGTATCTTGATGTGATATGCAAATGAAATATTGTAGTCTTTTTTTTCATATTAATTTGTTATTTTTTCAGTGGTCAGAGTTACAGGAATTTGGTAAGCTGGTTACAGACTCTGAATTAGATGAAAGAATAGACTTCCTGGCACCAAATCAGTGTTGTACATTGATTTATACTTCCGGAACGACTGGAAACCCTAAAGGTGTCATGCTTAGTCATGATAATGTAAGTATATATAGTTTATAACTATACTTCCGGAACGACTGGAAACCCTAAAGGTGTCATGCTTAGTCATGATAATGTAAGTATATATAGTTTATAACTATACTTCCGGAACGACTGGAAACCCTAAAGGTGTCATGCTTAGTCATGATAATGTAAGTATATATAGTTTATAACTTTACTTCCGGAACGACTGGAAATCCTAAAGGTGTCATGCTTAGTCATGATAATGTAAGTATATATAGTTTATAACTATACTTCCGGAACGACTGGAAACCCTAAAGGTGTCATGCTTAGTCATGATAATGTAAGTATATATAGTTTATAACTTTACTTCCGGAACGACTGGAAACCCAAAGGTGTCATGCTTAGTCATGATAATGTAAGTACATATAGTTTATAACTTTACTTCCGGAACGACTGGAAATCCTAAAGGTGTCATGCTTAGTCATGATAATGTAAGTACATATAGTTTATAACTATACTTCAGAACTACTGTAAAATCTGTATTAGAAGCTGGAGCTTCTATTAAAATGGTAGAATGCAACAGAGGGGATGCGGCTTCTATTAGAGCATCTACACATATGAGAAATGGTGAATTTTTGATTCTCAATTATTCAAAAATAATGGGTGCGACTTCTATTAGGGATGCGGCTTCTAATACAGATTTTACGGTAATGCATATTTGAATTTACTATCCCCCAAATATGGAATTTTTCTCAAAAGAACTTTGCATGCATATTTTATTTTGTATTTTATTTTACATATATTGTTTCTGTCTGTAGTTTGTGTGGACAACTAAAATGTGTGTTTCGGCGGCTAAGCTGAACAAAGGTACTGACTGTCTGGTTAGTTATTTACCTCTAAGCCACGTTGCAGCTCAGTTATTTGATATCTATATTCCGATGGTAGCTTGTGGAACAACATACTTTGCACAACCAGATGCTCTGAAGGTATGTTTTTAATTCAACAACTGTTTTGGGGTACTTTTGGAAATTTTGTTTTTTTGATAATTTGAAAAAAGATCATCAAGCTATTTACAATAGTTTTTTTACTAAACTGTTGCATGTTGTCGATCATGTCAACCCACAACTGAGAGATAATGTATCCAAATATACTTCCATGCAAAGCAATGTAATCAATCAAATGCTCCTTGTATCATGTAACTATTCATAAATTTGCTCCATGTTAGGCCAAAAAACAACAACTTATGTTGCCCTCAAGTCGGAAATTTTTTTTGTTTTGTTTTTTAAAACTCGTGAAAACTATGGGTATCATAAATAGCCGAGGTATATGGGAATCAATCAAACGCATGCTAGATATTAAACACAAAAATCAAAGTGGTTCTTTTAAATACAGATCAACCCGAGGTTCAAAGTCGCCACTTATTCCCCCGGGGACCCTGGGGATCAAACAACGGTCTGGGATCGTTAATTTTTAGTGGAAATACTTTTTCTGCTTAAAATGGTGATTTTTTAATATTTTGGCCTATTAAAAAAAAAAAAAAAACGCGACCTGATACTTCATATTTTTCGGTCGGTCACTGAGGGCAACAAAACAATTTTTTTGGGGGGGCCTTACATATATCTATTTACTTACTTGTGACACGCACCTGTTCATTTACTTGTTACATGTAACTATTCATAATGGTTAAGCACTTAATTGCCTAGCCAAACTCATGAGTCATGGCAACATGTAACTAGGCTAAGGTCTGACTGTGCCTCTGTTCGAAATAACCTAAACAGAATCAGAAGGGGCTGCAATCAGAAGGTGATCCTGTGACACTACTATTGTTACATAGATATGTTTTCTTTGATTAATTTACTTTTCTATGGGTGAACATATAGTTTTGTTGTAGTCAAACTTGTACGTTATTTGCCATGACTGACAAATGAAGTGTTCATGCAAGTCCACATACTTTCACTCTATTTTAATGGAGTTCGTTACGTAAGTTTAGTATGCATCTGACTTGTTTTCTCAGGGCACTCTAGTTAATACTTTGAAAGAAGTGAGACCAACAGCATTTCTTGGAGTTCCACGTGTGTGGGAAAAAATCCAGGATACATTGAAAGAAGTGGGACGTAATGTTACTGGATTTAAAAAGAGAATCTCAACATGGGCTAAAAGTGTTGGCTACGATGGCAATATGAGAATCATGAATGGGTAAGTTTATTTTGTCAATCATCTTGCTATCCATACACACGTACCAAAGTACCCTACTTGATAATGATGACATCATTCATTGACTTTCTCATTCTATTGTCAGTGACATCTTCTATTGCTTATTCCAATGAAAGCTAAATATGCTAATTTAAAATTGCAATTCAGCAAATATACAAATTCAATTGTCAAGCAATTGTGGCCATGACATAAATCAATCAAAATAGATCACAAGACAGATTGTGGTAAATGTACAGAAAATATTTAATTCGAAATGAGCCTAAACAAATAGTATAATACCCAGACACATTAGTGGGCCTTCTGCTAGCTAGATTATCAAGTGATACTATAACAGGTTAACATGTGCACCAACTATGAATCACAATTATAGTAAACACGGCAAATACATGTATAATAAATAAAGTCAGTTTAGAGTCTCTCAGTTACTTACCTAAGATATGCAGCCTGTTTACGGAATGTAGGTCCCACTATATATCATTTTAGCTGCAATATACCGGCAGTCCACGGCAGGTAGCGATAACAATGGCAGGTTGTTCACGGCATATCACACACTATCCATGATTCTTGCTTTAATTAACAGCATAATAGAATTAATAACACTTCTATAATTATCCCTGCTTCAATTAAATAATGACATTAGTTTCCGTATGATATCAACATAATAGTAATGATAATGTCAACAATAATTTCACTAATTCAACACAACACTAATGTTCGCCATGGTTACATAAGTTAGCAACAATAATCACAGCTTTCCAACACAATTTCAACAGCAACAATGTCCATGATTAGCTAGTAATCCCACTAGTAATGATAATGTCTGTGATAATCAGTAATAACAGTGTTATAGCACTGATAATGTCGGTGATGGTTGCACAAATTTGCAGCAGAAGAGTAATGAAACAATGTCATTGATTAATGAACATACTATGCTACGCCTGTAAACTTTGTAGAAATAAGAAATACTGGTGTATACTCTTCCTAACACATTATTGTCAAATGTCTACGGAAGACACCAAGTAAATACGGCACACGCACCTAAATTAGATCAATGACATTACCTGTGACAATTTTAGAACAAAGTGACATGTGACACTGCATACAAGCATCTCACACAGTTTATCAAAATGTCACAGATTATCCTTAATCATTAGTCTCTTCATTCCAAGATTTTCATCGACTCGGCGTAGGAGTGTGTGCACTTCTTCAAGAACTGACCAGCACATGGCTTTCAAATTTAGTTGATATATAATATATAATATATATCAACCTTGTTTATTCATAATTCAGTCACCTCGTACACAGGCTAAATATAAAGATACTTAATATAAAATACAATTCACTTTATTTCTGACACTAATATTTCAAAAACTAGTGAATTTGAAAGATATCAAACCAACTAAGATTAATTTAATAAAAATAAAAATATCAATTTCTCGGATCACTCCAACCAAATACATCAACAATGAGTGTGATTTTTTTATACTGAAATTTTCTTTTTTATAAATTCTCAGCCACGGTTAAATTTATTTTGTTCACTCACTGTATTGGTATGTCTTGGTATTATGTTTACATGTGTACTCTGCCTCAGAGTTATTTACTGGACACTGCTTGCTTGCGTCATTACCTGCTTATCAGACTATCTTCCATTCTATGAGCCACACACCCCACCCTCACCCCTATGACTTAAAGTATGCACCGTAGTATTTAATACTCACACTGGATGTGGACATTCTCTCTGTCTCTTACCTTATATCTATTGCTAGTCAATTGAAAAATGCAACTCATGGAACAAAGAGTTGTTTATCTAAGAGGTGAGAGTTTCTCAAGTTAGTTGCATGTTCTTATGTTGCCCTGCATGCTTTATGTGTATGTCAGTGTGCTTTCTTGTTTGTATAGTTATGTGCACCTTCCATCCTTAGTGCCAAAACATGCTTTGATTGTTTATCAATAACTCATACATTTTATAGTGTTTATTTTGGCCTCTCTCAAATACTCTTCATGTTCTGACAGCTCATTTATTTATTTGACGG